TGTGTGTTTGTGTGTGTGTGTGTGTGTGTGTGTGTGTGTGTGTGTGTGTGCGTGCGTGGCTTCCCCATCACACTGCTGCTGTATCCTCCGAGTTATTGAGAGCGCAGGGAGAGAGAGAGAGAGAAGGAGCGCGCGCGTATCCGGTGCACGGGATATCCGAGCACACCGGCGATCTGACCGAGCAAGCAAATCTGGCCTCAGACACATTTTTAATGTGATGCGTGTGATATCACCCTTGAAGAAGCCGCGCACTGACCGGTGTCATCGAAAGGACCGAGTGTCGTTTTGCGCCACGCATCCCCTTCTTCTCATCGCATCCGCGCGCCGCGTACCTGACTGAAGTATGCCAGAGAAAAGAGACGGCGCTGAATCCATCCGGGATTATTCATACATCGCATGAGAAGCATCTTTCCGCGCTGATCTGTGCCATAATCATTCATCCTCAGGAGTGGGTGTGCAGGTAAGGACGCAGTGAGTCGCATATGTCCGTGCTGGAGAACAGTGATCCACGTTCGCTGTTATGATGTCCGTTGAGTCCTGTACGGTGAATGCAGCGACCGGCCTGTGCTGGCCACACACTGCAGTCATTTCTGGGCCGTGTCTTGAGCCGATATTGTGCTTGTTGTAAATGACAACCGCTTGTTTTGTGTTTAAGAAAGCCAGGCCTGGTATTTATATCCACACGATGCTGCATTTTCCAACACACTGCCCATTGGACCACATTGAGGAAAGTTGCTTGTAAGCCCAATAAGTGTCAATGTAAAATGACAGGCCTGAATGGAAGAAAACATTTCATAGGTGGCATGAGCATTATATATGTAAGCTGACAAGAATAAGGAGCGCCGGGTGTAAACGGTGATGGGAATAGTGGTGAACAATGCGGTAAAGGCATTGAAGAAATACATCATCCATGCTAGCTGCACCCACAGCTCCAGTCATGTGTCAGAAATTAGCAGCAGCAGTGGACTTTTTGTGTAAAACGTGAAACACTTGCTGCCATTTATGACCTATTTTACAGCGTTAAAAGAATAGTGAGGATGCCTAATTATTTGAAACAAGAGGCAGGACATATGTGCCATAGTAAGGTTAAATGCAAACATAGGTTATATATGTTGGTGTCTGCATTGCTCCTGTTGTATTGTCTCCTGAAATCGATGCACAATTTTACTGTATATAGTGTTTAGGCTGCAAAGGAGGCACAGAAACTGCACCTAAAGCAGCATATATGGCACAAAAATGTGTTTAAATTCTGCATATACAGCAGGTGGAATAAATACATTTACACATGAGTTATAATAGCAAAAATAATGTTATGAAATTGATATTTTATGATTATGGAAAAATGAAAACGAATGAATGAAAATATAAAATTCAAAAAATAAATATGATTAAAATATCACATGATTCAATTATTGAATCATTTTAATTTAAAAACAGCAATTTTAAATTAATAAAAAAAAATAAAAGAACATTATTTTGAAATTATTTAAAAAAATATTTATACTTGTTATATTAAATTATATTTATATTACATAATATTAAATTGTATTTGCACCTTTTAAAATATGCTTTGAGCCACCTAACTGGACTGTTTAAAGATACTTTAATTTCCAAATCTCATTTATGTATGAAACCATATATATGTGGTGTGTCATTTTATTCAATGCAAACATGGCTGCATATGTTGGTATAATCTGTGAATTTCTAATAGTTTTATACAGTATATGTGGTAAAAATTTCTTGATGCACAACTTTGCTTAGATACAGAGCAACGATTTTTTCTTTGTAACAAGCACTTGTTTTTATACTTGTGCATTCAGTTGATTTGATGCAAATGCATTTTTTTTTTTAAATGAGAGGTTTTTTGCACATAGTAATCTACTCTCTTCTCAGTCTTTCACAGTGAAGAGATTGAAGGCTTGCTTTTCTTGCAATGGGTTTTGTAACGTGTTTTTAAGTACAGTGTCATAGTGTGATGTCATAATTCGTAGTGTTGACGTTCACTATTGCACCTTTCAGTTGGTTGTCTTTTAAAATAAATTGGTGAAATAAAAATCAAATCATATTGGGTTTCTGAAACCCAATATACACAGCTCTGCGTTTAAGCGAATATGTTCAATGTGTAGTCCAGTTCTATTGATGTCATTGATCCCCAAGCAGATTTTCAGTGGAATAAATTCATCATTATGTCTATATCTACATAATTCTATCAAGAAATGAAGCAAGCATAGAGACAGAGAACTCCTCTGTCTGGGGACCAGGGCCGTTTCTAGGCATAGGCGAGCTAGGCGGTCGCCTAGGGCGCCACCAGCTGAAGGGGCGCCAATGAGCACACGTACTGGCACTTTTAGCAGGGTTGTGATAAAGAGTGAAATATGAAATATGACTGCCGCTCCCACTGGATCCCCCAACATTATTGGGCTAGAGTACTGTCAATCTGACGATGCCTGTATGCCACTAGATCAGAGTGCTGTCAATTGCTGCCTGGTTGTTGCATGCAAAGTTTGCATTTGGAGCGCTCAACAACGCCATTAGATCAGTGGGCTCTGTCAGTGCTTTGGCAAGGTAACACTTTTTTTTGCCATGCAATAAAGCTAAGTTCAAAGGCCAATAGGGATTTCGCCGAGGGCGTCAAATTGGCTAGAAACGGCCCTGCTGGGGACTGACGGCCTTCATGTTAATGCAGCATGGCATGATCTCCCTCAGGTTCTCCTCGACTCTTTGAGGACTGGATCAGTTTTTTATTCCCCTGAAAGCAACCTTACAGTCCGAGAAGAAGCTCCAGATCTATATCTGACCTATTTGAATTTAAATGTAGAATGTTAGGCAGTATTTGTGGCACTTTTGTCCAAATATTTGTGGCAGATTTGTCCAAAAGGTGTGCGTTTTTTTCCACCAATGCATTGTTAAAGGATTAGCGTGTCATGTAATATTCCCATATAAACATCCAATTAAAAAATATTTATATAGTAAAATTCCCTAATTCACGAGATCAACACATCCTTTATTAGACCTCTTTGTCGAGTTAAATGCATCCTTACGGAGGTTTCGAAATGCTGAATCGATTCATTCACTTCCAACAGCGCTTAATAGGAGCAGCGTCATAGAGGAACCAAATACACAAAATAATGATCTTTAAAAAAGCATCATATGACCCCTTTAAAGGGCAGCTTCTGTTTTTGATGAGGCAGATTCTTCTGTCAGATTATCCACGTTCAGGCCGTCTGTCCCTCTGTCTCACATTGTCTTGAGAAGATGGAAACTGTTTTAGGAACATGATGTCAGTATATGATATTTAAGCAGATTTATCCTAATGCTTATTTCCTGATCGTGAGGAGACAGGGTGGATGGTACCTGCTGCTTTGATAGATTAAAAGATTAAAAAGAGCTAACTAATTAATATAAGCGAGCCCAGACCGAATCATATGGCATTTTCTGGGCCGAAAATCTGTGGAATTCTGAGAAATGGACTTCGGAATGGTAAAAATATGTTCAAATGAGCTGAAAGAACTTCAAATAAATAAACAAATAAGCAGTGGAACATGTCCAGAACTTCTAGAAAACATCCAGAAAATGTTGTTGTCAGCATATTTTATATGCACTGAAAAAATTCTACTTTGGACCAACTTAAAAAAAAACAACTCTAATTTGTTAATTAATTTGTTAAACTCCAAATATATGTTCTTCACAAATTCTATTTGTAGTTTCATTCAAACCTTAAAGTTTGACTTTTCATTAAGACCCTAAAGAATCATATCAACTTGTGGAAAATGGGCATCCTATGACCCCTTTAATGTTGGTCAGTATATAATAATTTGGCTTTTTAAAACTTAATTTCACCATAAACCTAGCTAAATTAGCCCTAATATGAAAGTAGAATTTCATTAATATGAAAGTAAGAACACTTTGTTAGTCAATGTTTCATTTTAATGTTATTATATTTTATGTTACGTAATACACAAGCGGCAACCTTCCGGTCTCTCTCGTGAAACCAACACGGAAGTGACTAAAACTGCAATTCATAGACTGGCCGCTAGAGGCTGGCTCCAAAAGGGAGTCAGTCCCATAGACTCCCCATGTTAAAATGCCCAACTTTTCGTGTGTGTGAGACGCGGGAGCTGATGGCAGGGGGCGGTGGATATTTGTGGCGGTCAATGTGGATATTGTGGATGAGTTCTTCTGTGTCATCACGTTCTATTAGTTCTACAGCTTCAGTTTTGGAACTTTCACGCTTAGTAACACATACAGCTGTTCCCTCACCACAGTGCAACAGTGAAAACGGACCCCTTTCAAACAGTGTCGCGTTCCGAACGTTGTTTAAGCGGCATACACCGGTATTGCGGTATTTAAAAAATTCATATCATAACAAAAATAAACACCGGTATTCGGTATGAACCGGTATACCGCCCAGCACTACTATATAGCTAATTTTGCCCTTCATGACATCTGTGAGGGGGGTGAATTTTTTTATAACTCATCCGTTTAAATTATATTAAGTCTTAAAGTTCTGTATAATTAAGGGCGTGGCCACTTGAGTGACAGGTGGATTGCCGCTGCTGTCACCGCCGTGAGCTAGGTGGGCGTGGCTTCAGCAACCAGCTCCTGCCTCTTTGCCCATTTTCGATTATACGCGCTGCCAAGATGGTGACGGCCGGCTCCGCCCACTTTGAGCTTCAAAAACGCTCTTCAGAAAACTACGGGTGACGTCACGGATACTACGTCCATGTTTTTATACAGTCTGTATTTAGGTGGAATGAGTCATGTTAAATAATATATTTTTTTATTTGAATAAAACAAGTTAATTTAGATGTTCTCATTTTAGGTTACCATTTTTTCAATGTAAAAAAAAACACCAGAAAAATAATAAAACTCTGCAGTCAGTAAAGCTAGTATATGTTCTGCACATGAATACTCTGGTGTGAGGGGAACATTAAACATAATAAATAATTTCTTTACATTTTTACAAGATATTTGCTTCTAGACAAGCTGAACAAAACCATGATTTTTCATTAGACCAATAAAAAAATGCACTTTAAGTAAATGACAGTCGTTTCACTTTTTCATTGTGTAAATCACAGTCTGCAGTTGAATTCTAGTGTCCTTTTGATTACATCATTGTCCCCACATCATTTCTTGGTGAAACTGTGTATCTCTAAGGAGGTGAAAGGCTGAGCAGAGTTTGCATTTGTCAGCTCAGTACTGTGAGAAAGCCATATAATAATGAGCAATACTCTGCAAGGGACAGCAGTAGAATAAGGCTTCAACTCCTTGATTTACCCACCTTCAAAAAAAAAAACAGGCCTTTTCGGCACATCTACTTGCTAAAATCCACAGTTCATCAACCAGAACTACTGATTTTGCCTTAAACCTCAGAAGATAAAATGACCTGAATCAAATGTAGTCACTGTGTGTGTGTGTGTGTGTGTGTGTGTGTGTGTGGTGCAGTCGTGTCTGATTTTTGAGATGGCTTGTGAGGAGTGTAGTTAATTGTGAACTTGTGAACGCCTGAAGTCTTGTGCTCTTCTCACAGCTGTGTTTGTTTGTCAGGGAGAAACACATGTCAGTCAGATCCTGCAGTCAGAGGCCTGTCATGTCCGTGGACACCAGGTGCTGGGGAGGAATCAAGCCCTGACAGGCCTAGTATAAGGACAAGAGAGCCTGACACGAGGTCAAACTGTTACTCCTCCTGGTATCAGAGAAGTGGGCAGGGAAACCCTGGGTACATTATACCGACTCCCAATGTCATCAGATACACAGGTTGTGTAAGAGATACATTGCAAATATGTTTTCTTACTAGTTAAATTTGCGTGTGGATTTCCTGTTGTTGCTTGTGTATTATTAACATGTGAACCCTTATGAAAAAGTGTGCTTAATTGTATTGAATGTGCACTTTAAGTGTACACTTAAGTGCACTTTAAAAAAGTGAACTTTGTAATAAAGTCAAATTGAAAGTTTTACTTTATTTTATATGTTATGATATAATCTTTTGTCATTTTTTAAATAAGTATTTCTTATTTATTGTATTATTTATGTACACAAACTTGTTAACACTTGACACTTACCACTGAGAAACGTCGAGCTTCTGAAGCTCCGGGTGCGGTCCACATATATGCGCAGCGCTCTTATGGGACACAGAACAGTAAACAGTCAAATTTGCACATGGTTAACATCATGTCGAGAAGACGCTGTATCCTACGCTGTGAGAGTAAATTTGTTTTATCACATCTTATAATTACCACAAACTTGTTAACACTTACCACTGAGAAATGTCCTGCTCCAGTCGTGCTTGCGAATCAGTCTCTTGTCGATCAGCCAGTTCAACTGTTTCATCATCAGACTCCGGCTTGAATTGGTAAGGTACAATTGATACCATCTCTTCTATGGTATTGACAAGTCTCCAGGGCTGTCATTCCGTCATGGATGGGCGTTTCGTTTCCGACACGTGTTGTACTTGGTAGACCAATCCAGAGCCAATCTCTCTACGGCTCTGGACCAATCACAAAGGACTGCACCATCTGACCAATCACAGCAGTGAGGGCTCGAGGAAAGGAGGGGTTTAGAGAGACTGATTCTTTGAACTGCTTTGCACGAGTCATTTACGAATAATTTAGAAATGAGGTAAAATTATATCTATTTTTTGAGAAAACAAACGTGTTTTTTGACCTTGCATGCATGTAAACCTGTTTTAGGAGACTCATAAAACAATATCAGCAACTTCAAAAATGGCATAATAGGGGCACTTTAAGTTAATATATTTTAAATGTACTAAATTGCAACTTCATTAAAAATGTGTAATTACAAATATATTGGAATACATGACATACAAGTTTAAACATTAAAGTATGTTTTAGTTTACCAATAAATGCTTGTAGATAGATACACTCAGCAGTAACTTTAACCATATTTCAAACAAAGACAATAGAAGTAATAATGAAATTACATATAAAGATGTACTGAAGTGTTACTTAATTGGTTAAAAAAAGCACTCTTAATTTAAACTAATTGCATTCAATAATTTAATCTATAATGCATATTAATTTAATTACATTCAGTTTGCACCTATAAATATATCCTATTATTTCTGTAAAAAAAGTACTGTTTTTAAAAGTATGCTTAAGTGTGTCATTTTTCACAAGGAAATCTTAAAGAATAGTAAAGATCTTATGACATAAAAAAGTTTGTCTTTTAGTCAATGTATTTTAGCTTTGAGATTTAAAAAAGTTAAAAGTTAACTAAATTAGTATTTATCAGAATACACATTTAAATTACAGTCTTTTCTTCTGGAAAATGAACAATTAGCAATAGAAAGTAGAAAATAACATTTGAAGTTTTACCAATTATTTCACATTTTTAAAAATGTGTTCATTGCTTTCATCGATGACAAAAGCTGTCAAGTGAGGTTTTGCTCCGGTGTGATATAAAACTAAAGGCTACTGGCTATATAAAAAGGATAAGCCCATTAATATTGATGTTATAGGGGATTCCTGTACAAGTTTTATGTCGCATACAGGGTTCCTCTTTGATATGCTTGATCCTACACTTAAAGGTGCACTAAGCAATATTTGAAAAATGCTTTTGACCATAGTGTCGGGCTGAGTCCCAAAACACACTTGCTGCCAATCAGCAGTAAGGGGCGTGTCTAGTAATGATAGGGAGAAGAGAGTGCTCAGTGAGTGCACAGGACGGATATTAGCAGATCGACTACAGATAGCGAGAGATGGCAGATAAAAAAAGAGGAAAATATTGTAGGAACAAAACATTAAAAAGAAGGGTTACAATCAGGCAAGAGGTAGGACCCATGTAAATATTGGAGCAGCTTTCCAACGGTGGAGAGAACTCAAGTAGCGGGAAGGCAAGCATTAAAACACACACTACTACCAAACACATTCGACCTGAAACTTATTGATGACACCATACCCTCGGGCGGCAGGCATTGAAGATTCTGCCATCATCGTTGCCAGGGTTGTGTGCGTGTGGGGCGGAGATATCAAAATAGGGGCGAGGTCCTTTTGGGGTATGGGCTTGTTTGTTTTGGTGCTTTTTAAATATCAGCATCGTTTGGCAAAATTCGCTTAGCGCACCTTTAATCTTTAAAGAGGTCACACTTATGAGATTGTGTTACAATACTTAACAGCTCATATACTTTGTGGGTGTATTTTCTCCAAAGTGGGAGTAATATTTAGGTCAGGTTTGCATTTTAATATTATGTGTTTGGGATCATTTTAGCAAGATCCATATCTTACTCTAAAATAAATTACAAATGTTGGCTTATAGATTTTTTTTTTGTAAATCTCAAACTTAAAGACTTTTGTTGAAGACTTAAATTGTGGTCACATAGATTTCTGGTTTAATAAAATTCTCGACTAATTTGACATTCCAGTACTGCAGTGCTTAATCTAATTCGCAAAGAACTTGTTTAATGTGATAGGAAAATGTACATATGTCTCTCACCCATTCCTTTGAAACTATCTATCTGGCATTCATTTTGAAATAATTTGTACTGTCTCTTGGGTAATACAGTATCTCAAAAAAAGTCCCCCTTCTGCTTATTGGTAGAGAGTATTTGAGAATTTTCATTTTTACAGTTTGTTCTAAAAATGATTTTTGCAAGCTCTCTATAGTCTATTTTGGGGTTGTGTTATTAATACATTGATAAATCAAATTATATTACAAAAGAATGTGCCGAGTGGCTTGTGATTGTGAATTTTACTCCGTGACAAAAGGGAAAATGTCAGCGTGCCTTAAAGAGATGAATTCCTTTTTTGCATAAAACACATGGACCATCTCACGATTTGTGAAGAATCTGAGAAATTAGGCCAACTGTGAAACATCTGAAACACTTTCAAATATGAGCCGAATGTGTTTAAACATAATGAGGATTTAAAAAAAAAGATGTTAAACTTGTACATATAAATGTGTGTGTGCGTGTGTGTGTGTGTTTGTACACCTACATACATACAAACATATATATACACACATTTAAATATATGTAAATATATATAATGCAAAAATAGAATTATATATGTACAAGTGAAATATGAAAATGTATATAATGCAAATATATACTCAAATTAAGAATAAGAATGACATAAGTCTGTCGCACAAAACAAATTCAGCGTATCTCTTGACATGCCATTTAATATACCTACTAAATATACATTTTTTAATATATACGCACATTTATATATGTACAAGTGAAATATGAAAATGTATTTAATGCAAAAATATATTAGAAATAAGAAAGAATGGCGTAAATCTTTCACATAAAACGTAAATTCAACGTATCTCTTGCTATCCCTTGATGTGCCATTTGGAATATTTGTCAGGATGTCCAAAACCACAGTGTGTGTGTGTGTGTGTGTGTGTGTGTGTTATTATGGGGGATGGGGCTGTTGAGATTTTGGGTTTATGAGTACTGGGGGAGGGGAACGCTCTGCGTTTGTGTGCTGCATTCTCTCAAGATAATAATGACTGAAATCTCAATGAGCGTGTCAGGAGAACACCTGTCATAGACTCTCTCTCTATGTTTGTTTATAACCATGAGAACAGTGACTGTATGGATAGAAATTTATGAAACAGCACATATGACACACAGCACACCAATGATGGTCTGGTTGTTCACTGGCAGACATTGGAAAGGCTTCTGGAAGGGGGATGGGGTGAAGGATTAGCCTCCTAAATCTATTAGAAATTCATTCATACTAAATTCACTTATCAAGACGCTGAAGAAAAAAAAGAGAAAAAAGAGGGCTGCTCTCTCTTACATTGGTAGGTGAATTGACCCAGTTGTTCTGTATTCCTCTAAAAAGGTCACTTGACGTCACCCTCTCATGAAGCTACTGTACATCAGCTTGAGGGAAAATGGGACAGTTATTTGTTTTGGTTTCACAGGAATATCTGACTCCTAAAACAAATCGTTCCGGCCCTGGATGCTGAATAGCCAATGCAGCATTTCTGAGCTATTAGATAACATAGTAGGTTAATAACTGTGACGCAAAACACCTGTTAAGCTAGCTTGCACTGCACATATAGGCACTACATTAGTTTACATGTCAGAAACCATGGCTGTGTTCCAATCACCAATTCCAATTCATAGTGCCTTACAAAGTAGACTTCACAGAAGTTGTAGGAAGCTTGTAGGCTCAGTCCCAAGAGCAGTAAAAGGGTGATCAAGTGTGCAGTTTATCTTAACAGAAAGTGAAAATGGTAAATATATCCACTAGTCATTGAACTTCACCTAAACTTCACATAAAAGCTGAAGTCACGTAGGTTAGCTGCCATGTTGAGTTTCCATTTATCCTATTCATTTTTCTGTGAGTACCTTGTCGCCTTGTCTGTATCTACTGTAAATTGAATCAGAAATTTATGAATTGTGATTTGGATTCTATTAGGTTTGTGTTTGGCTGTACAGTTTTTCTCTTTTAGTGTTACTGTGGAAACTGACTTTTACTGCACTATATGCAGGGCTGCTTGAGGAAGCAGGCGCGATGGCCAATGCCTCAACAGACCTGGACAATGCTGAGGCCCAGAGACAGCTCAACAACAACAACAGGCCTGCAAGCACAGGATTCTGGGAAACAGAGACCACCAGTGCCAAACTATTTGAGTGCTCCCGCATCAAAAAACTAGCAGGTGAGTAGAAGATCTGCTGGATCTGTGCCTTTGCAATATTTTGAGCATATACACTGTATAATGTTCAGAAGTTTGGGGTCAATGGGGTCAACAATGCCCTAAATTGATCAAAAAAAGTGACAGTTAAGACATTTATAATGTTACGAAAGATTTCTATTTCAAATGCTGTTCTTTTAAAATTTCTATTAATCAAAAAATCCTGAAAGAATGTATCTTGGTTTCCACAATAATATTAAGCAGCTAAAACTGCTTTCAACATTGACAATAATAAGAAGGATCATGTGACACTGAAGACTGGAGTATTAATGCTGAAAATTCAGCTTTGCATCACAGGAATAAATTGCATTTTAAAATATATTAAAATGGAAAACACTTATTTTAAATTAATTAAATTAAATATTTTGAAATATTACTGTTTTTGCTGTGTATTTCATCAAATAAATGCAGCCTTTGTGAGCATAAGAGACTTTCAAAAATATTAGTGAAACTGACCCCAAACTTGAATGGTAGTGTATATATTAGGGATATGATATTTTTCAACACCCATATTCTTGTTATGTATGAGAAATAATATATGGCTGAAATAAAAATTCTGTAACACTGTCAAAAATCAAAAACTAAAAACAAATATTCAATTGATTTAGACAAATCAACATTATAATGTACAGTATGCGAAATAAATATGAATTCTGAGATTTGCTAAAGATTACATTTAACAGCATTATTAGTGTTTTTTTTTTTTTAAGATTAACATTAAACAATACCACGGCAAAGTTAATCTAAATGTAACTGACTGAAAACTCTAATATCATCTGATAACCGATATGGTACCGATATCATGCATCCTTAAAGGGTTAGTTCACCCAAAAATGAAAATTATCCCATAAATTACTCACCCTCAAGTCATCCTAGGTGTATATGACTTTCTTCTTTCAGACGAATCCAGTCGGGAGTTATATTAAAAATGGTCTTTGATCTTTCAAGCTGTTTAATGGCACTCAGCGGGTGTTGCATGCATCAGTCCAAAAGAAGATAAATAAAAAGCGCCCATCCATAAAAAAAGTGCCTCACACGGCTCCGGGGGGTGAACAAAGGCAAAATCGTAGTAAAATGTAGCAAATCGATGCGTTTTTGTAAGAAAAATATCCATATTCAAAACGTAATAATCACTTTAATGTAGCTTGCACTCAGTGTTGTACACGGAAGCAGCTCCGACTAACCCTTTAATATAAATAAATAAATTTTGTTTGTCTTTTTGTAATCATATCAGATGAGAGGGATGCAGTCCAGAAGAAAACCTTTACTAAGTGGGTGAACTCTCATTTGGCCCGTGTGTCCTGCCGTATCTCTGACCTGTATAATGACCTGAGAGACGGATACATGCTCATCAGGCTGCTGGAGGTGCTGTCAGGAGAGCTGCTGGTGAGTTCTCAGCTGAACAAACTTTTTGACAATTTTCCCTTTTTTTTCTCCACTTTTTTAATTTGACATATTTTGTGTAATTAATTAGTTTTAGCCATGCACCTAATTGCTTTTTTGACCAAAACACTAAAACTGATATTACTTAGCCGATAACCTAAAATAAAGTTTTGGTGATTAAATTTGTGTAATTAAACTTGTTCTGCTGTTCAGGGTGTCGTGTTCTAAGACGATAAATTAAACCAGATGTATTACATTTTGGCAATGAGCTGCCTCTCCATATTTCAGCCAAACAAATGTACAGATTGCTATTGTATTGCAGCTGATGTTTACCTGTTAGCTTACAGATGCTGACACAGTCAAAAAGCGTCATTAGAGAGCCACTAGTTAAACAGCACAGTTTGATTTCGGCCCTCCAAAACTATTTCAGCTAAAACCAATTTTTTTTTTTTTTGGTGAAATATTTTTGGATGGCAGAATTTTGGTGCATCACTAATTATTAGTATTTCTTGCTAGTATCACTAATACGCTTGCTGTACTATTTGGATTGAGCCCCACTCAAATGAATAGCTTAGATGATTTGACTCAATGAGGAGAGGTTTTCTCTTACTTTTCTATAGGAATGGACCTAATATTTTTGCTTGCTGGTGATTTGACCAGTAAACAACCATCCAGAAACCTAGCAACACATAGCAGCATCCTAAAAAACACTCAGGATTGTGGTGGCACTTCAGAAAAAAAAGTGTTTTTGTTTAAATAACTTGCTCTAAGATTTGATTCAGCTCAGTGTTATTTTAATATTATTTATATACTATCATAGTTTTGAATATTTTTAATAGGCTTTTATTTTTATATATATATTTTTTTATTTTATTTATTTATTTATTTAAAAAATTTTTTTATGTGCTTTTGTTATTTCTGTTAGCTTTTAAAATACAATTTAGATGTAATTTATTTTTATTTCCATTTTAGTTTTAGTTTTTATTTATTTTTAGTTAGTAAGTTTAGTGCTTCAGTTTAAACTTATTTCAGTTAGCTTTCATGGCAAAATGTCTGGTATCTAATATTCATATTTTTATTTCAGCTTTTTTCAAATAACAAAAATGTTTATGTTTTAATTCATGACAATCACCCTGACTCAGCCTACATGCTATGCTTTATTAATTGTCTTTCAAAGGTTGAATACAGGAAGTTTCAAGCACGTGTTTCTGACACATTCTTGTTTTAATATGTTTTTGTTTTAAGCCTCGGCCCACAAGAGGCAGGATGAGGATTCACTGTTTGGAGAATGTGGATAAGGCTCTTCAGTTCCTCAAAGAACAGAGGGTTCATCTAGAAAATGTTGGTTCTCATGATATTGTTGATGGAAACCACCGCCTCACTCTCGGCCTCATCTGGACCATCATCCTCCGCTTCCAGGTAAGAGCTGCTTGGATTTCTTGAGACTGCTTTGGGACTTTTTGAAGGCCTCATCTGACTCTGTGTACTGATCTCTGGGCCGTCTTATCCAGTATGCAATCATTGACTAGCGCTGGATTTATTTGATCTGATGCGGTCTGATCTGTAAAAGAGGTGGGCATGTTTGGACCCTGTGGGGGTGTTTGATCCCTGTCTGCCCTTTATGGTCCCTGCTGTGTGTGATCACTGTCTGTGTGGTGCCCGTGTGTCTGTATGACCGATTGTCAATACCTACATTACATACTGTAAATAAATAGTCACTTTCATGCTTATGTTTCTTAACACACTTCAGTACACTTTAGGTACACTTAAGTGCATGTCAACAATGTCATATTAAACATTTTCCTTTATAGTAAATTTTAAATTGTTGTTTTAATAACCTTTTGTCAAATAAAGTACATTTATTTATTTCATGTTTTTGACTAACTTTCTAAAGCACATGTAAAGTACTTGATTATAATTTTAACTGCAGTGTGCTATTTGATATTACATTTGAAGTTATCAAATATATACTGTATATATATTATATGTACTATATTAATATATGTTCTAAATTATGTACTAAATTAGTATATTTTAAATGTACTAAATTGCAACTTCACCATTATGAATATAATTACAAATGTGTTTAAATACATGACACACAAGTTTCAATAGAATGACATTAAAGTACATTTTAGTGTATCATAAATGTGTCAGACCCTGTTCCGTGTTTTTCGTGTGTTTTGCTCCCCAAGTGCCTTCCTTGGCCTTATTTGGTCCTTCCCGTTCCTGTCATTATGATCATTTATTCCAGGTGTTTCCCATTCAGTTCATTTGTTCCCAGGTGTGTCTCATTAGTTCCCCTGTACTTAAGCCCTGTGTTTCCTTGTCTCCAGTGTTAGGTGTTGAATGTCTGTGAATGTGTCAACCTTTCCTGCTATGTGGTTTTTCCCTGGTTCCCTTAAAGACATTAAAATCTCCTGTGTTGATGTAGTTCTATTTCAAAAGAGGTTGCAGGTCTAAAAATATAAATATGGCTATTAAGGAAACCATATAGGCTGAGAAAGTTAAATGTACAGTAGGTCATTTTTTATTTGTTTATCCTATCTAACCTACATTTTTTAATTAAAATAAGAAGGTTATGAGTGGGATGGTGATGAGTGCTTTTTAAAAGTATGTGAAACTGTACTCAATTTTCACAAGGGAAACCAGGGTCGCTGTGATTTAGCCAAGTAAGACATGTTCCTGGATCAACATCTTTTGTTGATCCTGGATCAACATTACTGTCCAAAAATATAGACTAAACCCAATCCCCACCCCTAAACCTAACCCTACCCATAATTTATTCCTAAAATCAGTGTGAAATGATAGCTGATTAACAAGGGTGTAGAAGCACCTAACCCTGATTGTAAGCCTAAAACAGACATTTTCTGAAAAGTTATCCCTGAATTCTGATTGCTTAATTGGAATGTTGTTCCAGGATCAACAAGGATGTTGATCCAGGAACATGTTGTACTTGGTGAAATCACGGTCACCGGGAAACCAGGCTTGTATTTTCTTACTTCCATCATCTCTCTGAATATTTTAAAGTGCTCTGTGTCCATGTAACTACAAAGTGCAGAGCAGCTCCTGGTTTGTATTGCCTGTCATCTCTTGGCTCTATTAGTAAAGCAGTGGCAGGTTACCCAGAATGCCGTCCGACTGCAGCCCGGTAAGCTGATGCTGTGGTGATTCTGGACGCAGGGACTGAGAGAGGTGGCGTGTCACTCGATCCGCCGAGCGTGCCGTAAAGATGGCGGGGGACCTCTCGTCCTCTCGTGATTCTTCCTCTTCCCCTCTCGCTCTCATTTATTCTCCCGCCCCCCTCCTCCATATTCCTCTTTATATCCTGTCTCCATATATGCCGGAATATCTCTCCGCTCCCCTATTTATCTTCTTCCCACCCTCCCCATCTCTGTTGGAGTTCACTCTGCCCAGTCAGCAGGTAAGGCCGAACACTGCAGCAGCCGAACAGAGAGAGAGAGAGAGGGGGAGGAATTAGGAAGAGGGCAGATGGGAACGCTGTAAGGCAAAAGAAACATGCAAACTTCAGTATCTTGTGGACCAGAAACATTACAGATGTAGCACTATATATCACAACTTAGGCTACACTAGTTTGATGAAGGTTTTATATTTGCTTTCTCTTGTTATGTATTATTCATTATAAATCTGTTTACATTTCCTATCATTCCTTTGTAAAACTTTGCGACTCTTGTTTTAAGCATAAGCCTTTGTATATTTTGTTAGATTTATACTTAAAGCAAAAAAAAAACTGTGTCGCCCAACTGAATAAGAAAAATATTACATAACTCAAGATATATTCTGTGAGGGAAAGACTTCTTATCTAACCTAATGTTGCTTCTCAAGCAAATTTATCTTGTTTTAAGGATGTTTTACTGGAAAAACAAGCCTAAATTACAGGTTTTTGCAGAGCTGTTCTTTGAGGTTGTAGACATCGATCATATATTAACTGCATGATGCAAGAAATTCAATATGACGAATGATCTTGGGTCGCTGTAGTTTTGTAATGTGCTGGGGATGTTTGTGTGTGTGTGTGTTTGATTCACACTATAATGCCTGATATTGTGAAAGTGTGTCCTTGTGCCACGCATTAGTAAGTATCATGTCAAAATGACAAAACTGGTGCAATTGCTGTCATATGTATTGATGAGACGACACTAAGCACAATATGATATTTGTGGCCTGATGACAGAACAGGCCAGTAAACCACAGATACTAGGTTAATGCAATCACATTAAATATGATACGATAATTATATACAATGAATGAAAACCTTTAATGTCATTGTCATTGTATCTTATAAACTTTAATTGAAGGAGAGACCTGAATATCATTGAGATCAAAGGACTCGGGCCAGTAAGCAACCACATGGTAACTACCCAGAAACGCCTAGCATCTTCCTAGCAAGGTCCTATCAACCACTCAAACACCTAAGCACGATGGAGGCAACTTTTGCACTGACAAGCACAATTTCTTTAGAAAATATAAAAATCTAATTTAAAGAAATAATTCACCAAAAATAAAAATTTTGCCTTAATTTACTCTTCCTCAAGTTGTTCCAAACCTGTAAGAGTTTCTTTCTTCTGTTGAGCACAAAAGAAGAAGAATGTTGGTAACTAGACAGTTGATGGCAGCCATTGACTTCCATAGTATGGAAAAAAATATTATGAAAGACAATGGCTACCATACATATTTTGGTTACCAGTCTTCATTTTTGGGTGAACTATCCCTTTAACCCTTATGAGCTTTTCAGACATTTTTGATTGATTTCATTTTTGTTTTTTGTCAATCTGAGTGGTTCAGACCTTGGTAACTTTTTTAGATATGCTATCTGGGGGGAAAAAATAGGAATAATTCTTTTAACAATTTGTTCTAACACAGAGCAGTTTGTCTTTTTTTTTTTATTGTGTTGAATAACATTTATATATCAGCCACAATGTTGAATGAAGGCACACAATAATAAAGCAGCGAGACTATAAAACATCCAGAGTGCAAAAGGTTCACTCCTAATGCACAAAACACACACTCACAGTTAAATGAATTGCAAAATGAAATTTAAAGGGTTAGTTCACCCAAAAATTCTGTCATTAATTGCTCGCCCTCGTGTCGTTTCAAACCCGTAAGACCTTCGTTCATCTTCGGAACACAAATTAAGATATTTTTGATGGAATCTGAGAGCTATCTGACCCTGCATAGACAGCAACGCAACTGAAATGTTCCCAAGTCCAGAAACGTAGCAAGGAGATCTGTAAAATAATCCATGTGACATCAGGGGTTCAACCGTAATTTTTTACGAAGCTACGAGAATACTTTTTGTGCACTAAAGAAAAAAAAAACGACTTTATTCAACAATTCGTCTCCTCCGCGTCAAATTTTCATTACGGTTGAACCCCTGATGTCACATGGATTATTTTACAGATCTCCTTGCTACGTCTCTGGACTTGGGAACGTTTCAGTTGTCTATGTCTATGCAGGGTCAGACAGCTCTCAGATTCCATCAAAAATATCTTAATTTGTGTTCCAAAGATGAACGAAGGTCTTACAGGTTTGAAACGACACGAGGGTGAATAATTAATGACAGAATTTTCCTTTTTGGTTGAACTATCCCTTTAATTATTATTTGAATAAGATCTAAATTACCCAAAATTTCAACAACAAAAAAAAGTATATGATTTTGTTGTTACTGCTTCAGGGAATTGTTATGCCATTTCATTAGAAAAAAAAATGTTTTCCCTTCAAAATTAACAACCAAGATGTAGCCCTTTTTTGATGATTGGGATACTGCATGGTCCTCCTGGTATACAGGTGCATCTCAATAAATTAGAATGTCGTGGAAAGTTTATTTAATACACGAGTTTCACAATTTGAGTTGAATTACTGAAATGAACTTTTCCATGACATTCTAATTTATTGAGATGCTCCTGTACTATCATTTGTTTCATTGCAATATGAATATGAAGATTTTTGGCTTCATGATCCCAGTAGGGAAAGCAAAGCCAGTGACTGGTCCCTTAAAGAGCACACACCCATGTAATGTCTGTCAATTTCAGATTGCAGTAACCTTTTTATTGGTGTTTCTCATTCCTAACAGATCCAGGTGATTAAGATTGAGACGGAGGACAACAGAGAGACACGTTCCGCTAAAGATGCCCTACTTCTGTGGTGTCAGATGAAAACAGCAGGGTAACATCTATATATCTATCCCACAACTACCCATAACCAACCCATGGACAGTCATACTATATACTGTATATGCTACTGGTCAAAATAATCATTTGGAATAATTAAGGTATTTTAATGTTTTTAAAAGAAGTATTTTATGCTCACCAAGCCAGCATTTATTTGATCAAAAAATACAGTAAAACAATATTATTGTGAAATATTATTACCATTTAAAATAACTATTTTCTATTTGAATATATTTTAAAATGTCATTTATTCCTGTGATCAAAGCTGAATTTTCAGCATCATTACTCCAGTCTTCAGTGTCACATGATTCTTTAGAAATCATTTTAATATGCTGATTTTCTGCTCAATTATTAATGTTTTTCTTATTATCAGTGATAAATACCGTTTTTGCTGTTTAATATTTTTATGAAAATTGTGGTACTTTAAAAGTTTAAAAGAACTGCATTTATTTGAGATATAAATCTTTTGTAACATTATAAATGTCTTTACTACTGTCACTTTTGATTAATTTAATTGTTCATGTGAGACTGAAGTCTGGAGTAATGATGTTGAAAATTCAGCTTTGTCATCATAGGAATACATTCATATAGAAAACGTTTTTTTTTTATTTTTTTTATTTTAGTACGATTTGACAATATTACTGTATATTTGATCATATAAAACCATCAAAGGTGAGCATGAGACTTCTTTCAAAAACATTTTAAGAATTATAATTATTCCAAAATTTTGATAGTGTTTGGTAGTGTATGTTATTATTTGGGTCTTCAGAGAAATAGACATGATTTTGCTGTACGTGAGAAGTCTTTGATGATGCTGCGATGTGTTTCCTGTGTTTTGCCCCAGGTACCCAGAGGTCAACATTCACAACTTCACCACCTGCTGGAGGGACGGCCTGGCTTTCAACGCTCTTATTCACAGGCACAGGTCAGCGGTCAGACAGATACACATCATACTGACTTTTATACCATTCACATCATTGATAGAGGCTGTTGGGAAGTCGTGGCCTACTGGTTAGAGAGTCGGACTCATAACCCAAAGTTTGCGGGTTCGAGTCTCGTACCGGCAGGGATTGTAGGTGGGGGGAGTGAATGTGCAGCGCTCTCTTCCACCTTCAATACCACGACTGAGGTGCCCTTGAGCAACCCCCAACTGCTCCCTGGGTGCCACAGCAAAAAAAGGCTGCCCACTGCTCCGGGTGTGTGTTCACGGTGTGTGTGTGTTCACTGCTGTGTGTGTGCACTTTGGATGGGATAAATGCAGAGCACTAATTCCGAGTATGGCTCACCATACTTGGTCACATGTCACATCACGTTATGTGAGCTGATTTCTGCTTGCATGTTTCACAGGCCTGATTTAATTGAATTCCACAAGTTGACCAGATCCAATGCAACACACAACCTCCAGCAAGCCTTTAACAAAGCTGAACAGAGTCTCGGACTCACCAAACTACTAGACCCTGAGGGTAACGAACAGCATTTTACTCTCACTAAATACAGCTAATACAGTGTGAACCTTTAAATGGCCTTGTTCAGACAGAGATTTGCTAAATAGCTGAATGATCACTCAAAACTATAACCATTTTCTCCCACCCAGATGTAAACACAGAGAACCCAGATGAGAAGTCCATCATCACTTATGTAGTATCCTACTATCATTATTTCTCCAAAATGAAGGCACTTATTGTAGAAGGGAAGAGAATTGGAAAGGTAAGAGGTGTTTTTGTGCATGTTTGATAAAGCTAAATACATTATCGTCTCATGTGAATTCGCTCGAGTGTGTTATCAGATGCACATTTTTCCTCTCTTTTTCCTCTTTCTAGGTGCTGGACAATGCTATAGAAGCTGAGAAGATCATTCGCCGTTACGAGGCTTTAGCATCCGACCTGTTAGAGTGGATTGAGAGAACCATTAGCATCATTAGCAACCAGAAGTTTGCAAACTCGCTGTCGGGTGTTCAGCAACAGCTTCAAGCCTTTACCACCTACTGCACCATTGAGAAGCCTATCAAGTAAGAGAGAATAAATGAAACCGAGGTCTGATGACTGCCAGAGAAGTACTCGTCTCAAACTATGACTGTGAATCATCTGGTTCTTTCAGCGCTTTCTTACTCTACCATTTAAGGAAACTAGTCACTGTATTGTTGGTCAAAGGTGTTCCTACCCGTGTGAAAAAGAAGTGCACTTATATTGAATGTGCACTTGCAGTGTACTTCAAATCTTAAAAGTGTATTTTAAAAAAACTGTACTTGCAGTGCAGATTATATAATATTAATGGAATAAAGGGTCACTTAAGTGTACTTTCATGACTTTTCTTAAAACACACAGGGATAGTTCACCCAAAAATGAAAATCCAAACCTGTATGAGTTTCTGACTTCTGTTGAATACAAAAGAAGGTATTATGAAGAATGTTGTAACCAAACAGTTGCTGGTAGCCATTGACTTCCATAGTATGGAAAAATTACTATGGAAGTCAATGGCTACCAGCAACTGTTTGTTTATACACATTCTTTAAAATATCTTCTTTTGTGTTCAACAGAAGACAGTACAATACAGGTTTGAAACAACACGAAGGTGAGTAAATGATGACAGAATTTTCTTTTTTTTTGGGTGAACAACAGAAATAATAATAATAATAAATAATAATGTTTTTAAAAGCATACTAGCTGGAAAGTGTTTTTTTTCCCACTGATTATTGGCAGATTGTTCAGCTAACCATAGCTATTCAATATCTGACCACAAGTAGGCTGCATTATTGTAATTTTTCTCACCACTTAACATTGTGTAGAGAAAGTGTTTGTCTTTTCATATTATGAACAAACAATATCACCGACTCTTGTTGAAAATTAATGATTTTTGGTCACTTTGTTGCATACTGTCAATGTAAACTCCCTTTTAGAATCGGTCGATGTGCTCAACTGATGTGCTCATGTTTATTGGACACTTTTACTCTGTTTTTAAAGCTTTAAGTTAATTGCATTAGTCCATTTGGAATAAAGACTTGTTCATGCCGTTGCATTCATCAAATATCACAATCAGGGAATGTGCTGACACTTGAGAGAGCTGTTACTTTCACTGCGAGGAATGCAGCTTGTTTAACACTCAGTGACTGAAGTTACCGTACAGTGACACTGACATACAGTTTAATATGTGGTCTGAAATAGTATCTGTGCTGTTTTTAATGGAAAGATGTACAGCACAGACAGCACAGATGTAGTGCAGTTTGTGTGGTTATTTATGGTGTGGATTGTTTTTGCTCAGATTCCAGGAGAAAGGGAACCTGGAGGTGCTGCTTTTCACCATCCAAAGTAAGCTCAGAGCTAACAATCAGAAGCCATATATGCCTCATGATGGGAAACTTATCTCAGACATCAATAAGGTATGTACTGTTTAGTTAATATGGTTCTCAGCTGGTTACAGTGTCAAATTTGTATTTTTGTATAACCAAAACAGGTTGATTCCCTTTCAGAAAAAAAAAAGTTACTTTTCTTTTTTTGGAAAATATAGAAATATGACATATCATGACATTTGAATTAAATATTAACTAAAGACCTAAAGAAGAAATAAACACCGCTTGTCAAAAGTTTTGGAATAATTAAGATTTTTTTAATGTAATGTAAAACCCCTTGATTTAAAAAAATACAGTAAAAAACGTAATACCGTGAAATATTTTACAATTTAAAAGAACTGTTTTCTAATAGAATATGTCTTAAAATGTAATTTATTCCTGTGATCAAAGCTGTATTTTCAGCATCATCACTCCAGTCTTCAGTGTCACATGAGCCTTCAGAAATCATTCTAATATGCTGATTTGCAGCTCAGTTATTATCAATTATTTTGGTGCTCAATTATTAATAATAGTACTTATTATTTTTACTGTGGAAAACAGTTTTTGCTGCTTAATATTTTTGTGGAAACCATGTTTTTTTCCTTTCAGGACTCTTTGATAAATTGAAAGTTCAAAAGAACAACATTTGAAATGGAATTTTTTGCATCATTATAAATGTCCTGACTGTTACTTTTTATCCTTTTAATGCATCCTTGCTGAATAAAAGTATTATTATTTTTTTATCATACTTCCTCCAAATTTTGAAATGGTAGTGTATCACAATTTCAACAAAATTTATGAAGCAGCACAAATGTTTTCAAATAATCAGAAATGTTTCTTGAGCAGCGAATCAGCATATTAGAATGATTTCTGAAGATCATGTGACACTGAAGACTGGAGTAATGATGCTGAAAATCCAGCTTTGATCACAGGAATAAATTACATTTTAAAACATATTCAAATACAAAACAGCTATTTTAAAGTGTTTTACTGTGTGTTTAATTAAATAAATGCAGCCTTGGTGATTATAAAAGACATTTCAAAAATGTTAACATTTTTTAATTATGTCAAACTTTTAGTGATTCCGATTATTTTTTTTATAATTACAGATAGTGTATAATTTTTGTATATATTATTTATTATAGGAAGTTTTATTTACCTACTATTTAGCCTTTTGAGCTAAGCTATTCACACTTTAGTATATTTATATATTATTGAATGACTTAAGCATTGTCTCACAGAATAATCCTGATATTTTGTTTTTCTCATGAAAGGCGTGGGAGAGACTAGAGAAGGCGGAGCACGAGAGGGGCGTGGCTCTTAGAAAAGAGCTGATTCGTCAGGAAAAGCTAGAACTTCTAGCTCAACGATTCGATCATAAGACCACCATGAGGCAGGCTTGGCTGAATGAAAACCAGCGTCTCGTCTCACAGGTGTGCAGAACAGAAAAAATAAAACTTGGTGAACTGGGTAAAATAAAACAGGTGAAATTCTGACTTAAACGGGTACTGTGTTTTTCTCAGGATAACTTCGGCTATGACCTGCCAGCTGTTGAAGCTGCCATGAAGAAACACGAGGCGATCGAAGCAGACATCATGTCATACGAGGAGCGCATCAGTGTCGTGGTGGAGCTGGCGACTGAGATGGAGTCAGAAGGGTACTATGACATCCGACGTATCTTGGCGCGCAAAGAAAACATCTTCGGCCAGTGGAGCCTTCTGAAGGAGCTGGTGGTGGGGCGTAAAGCCCGTCTGGAGAAGAACCTGGCCTTGCAGAAGACCTTCCAAGAGATGGTCTACATGATCGACTGGATGGAGGAGATGCAGGTGGGTTGACTGTTCCAATTTGATTTGGTTTTTGATTAAAACCAGCCACAAAAAACATACATGGTGATTTAACACTATTTTCATGCCACTATTTTCATGCAGTAGTCAAGCTGACACAATCAAAGTGCCGTATTCTCACTCCCAGGTTAAGCTGCTGTCTAAAGACTATGGCAAACATCTTCTTGAAGTGGAGGACATGCTCCAGAAACAGAGTTTACAGGAGGCTGACATCTCTATACAGGCAGACAGAGTTCAAATCCTCAACACTGCAGCTCTCAAATTCACCACTATTGAAGGTGAGTGTGCCTCAAAACAGTAACATGATGAATATTGATTCAGAGACACCTGTCTGGGGTCAGGATGTGATGGCAGATTGTGATATAAAGGTTACTGTAACTGGATGCATTTCTTTCACTGAGATGTCCAGAGACCTCTGCAGGGTAGAGTATGTAAAATTATATGACATGAGGAACTTGCAAAATGCGCCACAAGAGGGCTGGAGTTGGTTTGCTCTGTATTCAGTGCATACTCTGATTCAGAGCTCAACAATGAGGATTTTTCTGCTTTTGCCATGTTTTTTTTTTTTATTTGCTACAAATTATATTAACGTTTTCAACTAAATGTTAAGTTTATTTTTGAGAAGTCTCTTGTGTTCACCAAGGCTGTGTTATTTTGATAAAAAATACTGAAATATTATTGCAATTTAAAATAATTATTTTCTATTTTCATATATTTTAAAATGTAATTTATTCCTGTGATGCAAAGCTGAATTTTCAGCCTTCACATGATCCTTCAGAATTAATTCTAATATGCTAATGTTGTGCTCAATAAACATTTCTTATTATTATCAATGCTGAAAGCTTCATATTCTTGTGGAAATGGTGATATAAATTTTTTTAGTATTCTTTGATCAAAAGAAAGTTCAAAAGAACAGCATCTTTAAAAAAAAAAAATGTTTTTAACATTATAAAAGTCTTTAAAATTGTTAATCTCTTTAAAAAAATTTAAAATCTTACTGATGCTGCATATGCAGCCAATGAGCTTACATTTATATGGCTGGCTAGCATTCACTAGAGATTCCTGCAGCGCGCTTTCAGAGTTACTCTGAAACCCTCCAGCTCCCCGGCTCCACCTGTATAGATCTGCTACGGGGTTATTTTATATGTTATTTGTGCCCCAAGACCAAATACATTAACATTGTCATATCCATCACCATGCTAAAATGTTTTAATAGTTGTCATGATTGAAATATATATATATATAAACTAAAAGAGATTTTGCAGCAAGCTAGAAATTATACAGCTATAGTGTATCTCCATAAATTCATAAATACTCTCAACGAATGATGCAGAACATGCTGATTAATTTGCTGTTTTCAACACTTTCTTAGTGTTTACAAGACTATCACATGTCATTTTTGCTAATCTGACAAAACTTTATCTATATTAGCCAATTAAATAACAAATTATGATTAATTATTCATATTTCCCCATGAGCTGATTCGCTACATCGGTGAAATCAGTGAAGCTCCTTCCCTTGTCTCTGTTTCTCACTCAGGTTACCAGCCGTGTGACCCTCAGGTAATTTGTAATCGGGTCAACCACGTCAACACCTGCCTAGAAGAATTAAAGCAGCTGGCTGCAAAACGGCACTCGGAGCTGGAGGATTCACGCGAGCTTTGGGCCTTCTTTCAGGAGGTAGAGGAATCGGAGAATTGGATCCGAGAGAAGACGTCCATCTTGGCCACGCAGAGCTGCGGAAAAGACCTGAGCAGTGTCCTGCGACTGCTGCAGAAGCACAAAACTTTGGCTGGAGAGCTGTTGGCGCGACGTGCGTTACTTCAGCAGACCATGAAGAAGGGCAAGCAGATCCTCACCCAGAAGAGCTTCGGTACGGCAGGAATACAAGAGCGACTGATGGAGGTCAAGGCGGAGTGGAAGAGACTGGAGGACCAGGTCACACAGAGACTCTGTAACCTACAGGAGGCGCTGGACTTTTTTCAGTTTAGCACTGAGACGGACGATCTACTAGCTTGGCTACAGGACGCTTACCGTCTCGTTTCTAGCGAGGACTTCGGACATGATGAGTATTCAACGCAGTCTCTACTTAAAAAGCACAGAGGTGTCCGAGAGAGTATCGATAAACACCGCGTACAAGTGGTGGGCCTTCGGAAACACATGGTTGCATTGCCGTTGCATTATCGGGAGCTGGATGAGGTGCGAGCGCGCATGGCTGAGACGGAGCAGCTCTACACAGAGGTGGCGGAAGTTGGCGTGTTGCGGCAGCAGTGGCTGCATGACGCGCTGGCTGTGTATCGCATGTTTAGTGAGGTGAATGCCTGTGAGGTGTGGATCGATGAGAAGGAGCAGTGGCTGAACAGGATGGAGGTTCCCGAGAGACTAGAGGACGTGGAGGTGATCGCACACAGGTAGGAACGTTGACCAGGTGTTGCTTGTCTTCTAAATATTTAGAAATGTCATTGCATTGGAAATCACACAAGTATTGCAAATGAGAGACATTTTTGCAACATAGGCTCATTAGAAAAATGCGCCTTTGGGGTAATTTCTGCAAAATATTACGTTGCTTCCTGCACGTTTTGTGACACTTTCAAAGTGAAATGCCCAGTGAGTGGCGCTTAAAACCTGTTCACTTTTATCTGAAACAGATGGCAAGAATCTGGAAGTGTTTTATTACGTTGGTTTTTGTACGTTTCGTGACAGTTTGGAAATGATATGTTTGTTGAGTGGCACTAAAAGGTTAATGCTGTATCACTTTTTAATATAATGTACCTAAACCCTTAATCTAACCAATAGTGTCAACGAAAGCAAATGTGAGATTAAACATATCTGCTAAGGCAAACATGGTTTTTTGAGCTATTTTATTTTGACTAGTGTTTCACGGGATTTGTACCCGAGTGCTTTGCAATTGCAAGCCAAGTGCGCTATCGAGCAAGTTTACTGTGTCAGAAAAGCCATGCATATGGAGCTGGTTATGTGATGCAAACGTAAAATGTGTTAGTTTACAAATCATGCACTATGGTAAAAGTGTTTTGAGGTCATTATATAGTATTGTTATCGTATAGTGTAGTACCGTGTGAAAATAAGCCTTTATTAATTGATAATCTGCTGCTGTGATCATAATTAGAGTGAAAAGGCATAAAAGTAGTTAGCCAGTAGTGTTTATTTAATCTGGAAACCGCAGTGAATTATACTTTTTTGGAGTTTTGCAAAAATGTAGGAACAGACACATTTTTCCAATGAGCATTTGTTGCATTTTTGCAATTACCCACAGATGAAGCTGTTTTCATGGACACAAATGCATAATTTGGTTCTAAGTTGGATTGTTAGCTGTGATTTACCATTGAATATCTTATCTGAGAAGCAAATTTTCCACATTTTAGGTTTGAGAGCTTGGACCAAGAGATGAACAGCCTGATGGGAAGAATACTAGACGTTAATCAGATCGTCCAGCAGCTCTTAGACAGCGGTCCCCCCATATATATATATGTGTGTGTGTTTGTGTGTGTGGGTGTGGGTGTGTGTGTATATACTACAAATATATTTATACTTATAACTAATGACTATAAATAAAAAAAAACTATAAATAAAAAAAATATATATTATTACATCATTTGCAGTGCTGCGTGGGATTGTAGTCCATGGATGTTAAGTACTTTGTCTCCCCCCACCCTTGTACCCGAGTGCTTTGCAATTGCAAGCCAAGTGCGCTATCGAGCAAGTTTACTGTGTCAGAAAAGCCATGCATATGGAGCTGGTTATGTGATGCAAACGTAAAATGTGTTAGTTTACAAATCATGCACTATGGTAAAAGTGTTTTGAGGTCATTATATAGTATTGTTATCGTATAGTGTAGTACCGTGTGAAAATAAGCCTTTATTAATTGATAATCTGCTGCTGTGATCATAATTAGAGTGAAAAGGCATAAAAGTAGTTAGCCAGTAGTGTTTATTTAATCTGGAAACCGCAGTGAATTATACTTTTTTGGAGTTTTGCAAAAATGTAGGAACAGACACATTTTTCCAATGAGCATTTGTTGCATTTTTGCAATTACCCACAGATGAAGCTGTTTTCATGGACACAAATGCATAATTTGGTTCTAAGTTGGATTGTTAGCTGTGATTTACCATTGAATATCTTATCTGAGAAGCAAATTTTCCACATTTTAGGTTTGAGAGCTTGGACCAAGAGATGAACAGCCTGATGGGAAGAATACTAGACGTTAATCAGATCGTCCAGCAGCTCTTAGACAGCGGTCACCCCAGTTCCACTGAAGTCAGGGGCTGTCAAGATCACTTGAACAGCAGGTAACTCCACATCATAAATACAGTTTGTTTTACATATAACGTTATCCTGCATATTTAATGGCAATATATAGCATATTGAATTTAATGGGGTTTAAATGGGTATTACAAGGATAGTTCTCCCAAAAAGGAGAAAAAATTTTTTGTCATCATTTGCTCACCCTCATGTTGTTTCAAACCTGTGTACAGATAAAAACTCATGAGACAAAATATATGAGACCAAAACTCAATCAGGGGCATTTTTGCCCCAGTCTCTTGAATTTTAGGGGTGTATAACTGCATTATACAAGCTACATCAAGAATTGAGTTGTTGCCCTGCATCATGTTCATCACCAGTCAAGAGTATGAAATGAAAAATGACCAACAGTAGGTTTGGGCGAGGTGGGTGCATTAAATGTAATAATAATTTTAACATGTTTTCAATATCTAACTATTTAAATTAACACGTTAAATGGACAGCCCTTATATATATATATATATATATATATATGTGTGTGTGTTTGTGTGTGTGGGTGTGGGTGTGTGTGTATATACTACAAATATATTTATACTTATAACTAATGACTATAAATAAAAAAAAACTATAAATAAAAAAAATATATATTATTACATCATTTGCAGTGCTGCGTGGGATTGTAGTCCATGGATGTTAAGTACTTTGTCTCCCCCCACCCAATTTTCATATATTTGTTTTGCTTCAAATCAAAATTTGAATGCTGTCTGTAATATTTTTTTAAATATCTATAGAGAAAATTATTAGTAAACATATACCCAACCGTAATCAAGGCTGCTGAAAAGTGGGCGGGCACTGTTGTGCTCAAACCAAAAAAAGCATTATTTATTTATTTATTTATTAATGCAAATTAATTATTAAAAATCATACTTTTCTGTTCAAGTATCTCTGGCCTATTATTCTTTTTGTCTTTTTCTCATATATTGCTAATTTTGTTGCATGTTTTTCCGTCCTCTTATGCCATGTTAGTCTTTCATTACCCTGATATGTAGTTGTTTTCAATTGATGTAACTTGTGTTTTATTTTGAAATGGTTTCATTCAGAAAACCCTGCACATTCCTGATGCTGCTGTTGTTCATCACTTTTAACACATGGCTCTACATGGGTGTATTTAGAAAATGGGCTGCTGCTTTCACAAGCTTTCACTGAAACTGGCAAGCTGTGACGTATGTGTGAAAAACTCCAGTGATCCGTTTTAGACCAACCTTGGCATAAATAACCTCTCTCAGCATGCTGCCATCTGCTGTGGCTGCCACATACAGGGCGCGCCTGACCCGGCTCAAAACAGAGCACTATGGATACATTCACAGCTATTATGTTCTTCAATATTTCATGCCACAGTGTATTTATAAGAATGTTTCATTACAGCATACCCTGTTGTTACTCTATGTTTGATTTGTGATATTGTGTCTCAGGCCTTGATCTGTGGCCCACCGGTGCATCCTCAGACTGTTTCTTGTGTGGGTGGATCCTTGATGTGTGTGTGTGTGTGTGCGTCCATGATTTGGGAATGATTCAGACTGAGTCATGTTTTCTGGAACCGAGTCTTTTTTATTATGCATCATCCAAGCCGTACTCGAGATCGTAACAGAATGATGTGAATATGAACTTAACAATGGGATGTAGTACAAATTTTGCAGTCAAAGTTTTTTTTAATTAATACATATAAATAGACCCAACTTTCATTAAATTGTATGACAAAAAATATTTCCTCAATTTCCTCAACATGTTTTCTGTTGAAACAGGAAGTTGCTAGTTTGTACAACTTTATATTGGCCATTTAAATGTTGGATTTAAAAATAAAAAAAAGATTTATTTAAGTTTTTTAGAATCACATTAAGTTTATTAGTGAGAAGGACATTCTCCTTCTAGATCTGTGGCTCTTAAAACTTCTGGAATTTTGAAATGTAGTTCTTTTATTTTGACTATAATTATTTTAGTTACAATTTTTTAATTTACAGAAATTATAAGAGCCCATCTATTAAAATAAGTTTTGAAAACAAAACTAGTTATAGAGGGCCTTTGAAATATTGTTGAGGACAATGAATGGCCTTGAAGTCAAAAAGGTTGAAAACCACTGTTCTAGAGAGTATTTAATAGGACAAAATTGCATATACATTCCTGAAAACCAGTGTTATTTTATTAGCATCGAGATATTATTATAGTGGTTACATTTACATTTTTTTTTATTTTTGTATTTTCCATTTTCATTTTCATTTTAGTTAACATTTTATAATTTATTTGAGTGTTTTTGTCATTTTTATTATTTTTTTTATATGTCTAGTTTTTAACATTCTTTTAGTTATTTTAGTACATCAAGATGAAGTAAATGAAAATGAGAAATGTTTCTTATTTTATAAAATAAAATATATATTTTATTTTTATTTCCGATAATGTTTATTTTATTTCACGTAATGATTTTTTTTTCTTTCTTTTTTTTTAGTTTTTTTATTTATTTATTTATTTGTAGTTTTAGTTTTAGCTTTAGTGGACTATAATAACCCTGCTGTGAACAAGATGAGTCATCAATATTTTGGGTCATTTTCCTGGTAGAGAAAAGCTGTAAATTTTACATGCACTTATGTATGATAAAAGCTAAGGTTGTAAACTTTTAGGTGTGCACTAGCATATTAATGACCTCAAAGCTAACAGAGATCAGTGTTTAGAGTCATTTTTAATTACACATTTACAACGCAAGACAGGGAACATACCGACTTTCCACAAAAAAAAAGGAGCAAGATTTGAAATGGAACTTTAACAAAGATACAAGTGATTAAAGTGTCTTTAAATCCAAAAATCGACCAAATTGCTTTCTTTTTGCACATCACAGGTGGAACCGCATCGTGGAGCTGGTCGAGCAGAAGAAAGATCACCTGGACTCAATCCTGCGCATCCAGAACTACTTACTGGAATGCACGGAGATCAAGTCCCAGATTCAGGACAAGCGGAAAGCCATAGACGCCACGCAGTATGTGGGCAGTGACCTGGGCAGCGTGCTGGCTCTGCAGCGCCGTCTCTCTACCATGGAGGGAGCTCTGGCGGTTCTCGAGCCCAAGCTCCTCCAGCTTCAGGAGGAAGTGGAGGAGCTCGCCACATCCCATCCGGACAAGGCCATAGACATCCTGGTTCCCTTTGAGGGCATCAGCGTGGAGTGGGAAGAGCTAAAGCGTACATTACAAGGCTGCGAGGACTCTTTAACTGTCGCTGGCCACTTGCAACAGTTCATCCAAGACTTGGATTCATTCCTCACCTGGTTGGTGCAAACTCAGACAGCAGCTGCTTCAGATGAGCTTCCCAATGCTTTAGAGGATGCGGAACGGCTGATAAACCAACACGCTGCACTCAAGGAGGAGATCGGAAGGTACGAAGAGGACTATGAGCGTCTCCAGGCTGTGAATGAGCTCTTGGAGACGGATGAAGCGCCGTTGCCTCATGGAGCTCTGCAGCAGTGGCTGCACAAGCTGGATGTGGGCTGGAACAAACTGCTGGAGATGTGGGAGAGCAGGAGGGAAGTGCTGGTGCAAGCTCACATCTTCCATCTCTTCCTGAGGGATGTCAAGCAGGCCGAGGCTTTCCTCAATAACCAGGTGAAGCCCCTCACACCTCTTTGTGTCATTTGCACAGTTCAGATTTGAAAGATATTTCTGAAGACTGCTGTTTCCTAAATGTTATTGCACAGAGGTTGCTCTTTCATAGATGAGGAATCTTAAAGGAGATCTCATTTATGATTTATAACTTAAATGTAGTTATATTTAGAGGGATAGTTAATCCGAAAACCATTTACTCAACCTCATGCATTAAAAGTCAGTGTGGTCCAATGTTGTTTGGACCCCAGAGTTCTTCAAAATATCTTCTTTTGGGTTTCACAGAAAAAAGAAAGTTATACAGGTTTGGAATGACATGAGGCTGAGTAAATGATGACAGAATTTTAATTTTGGGTAAACTATTCCTGTAATTACACTACCAGTCAAAAGGGTTTGAATAATTACATTTTTGCGTGTGTGTGTGTGTGTGTTTGAAAGAAGTCTTTTTTGCTCATTGAGGCTGCATTTATTTGATCAAAAATACAGTAAAAACAGTAACATTGTGAAATATTATTACAATTTAAAATAACTGTTTTCTATTTGAATATGTTTTAAAATGTAATTTATTTCTGTGAGTCAAAGCTGTATTTTCAGCATAATTACTCCAGTCTTCAGTGTCACATGATCTTCAGAAATCATTCTAATATGCTGATTCGCTGCTCAAGGAGCATTTCTTAAAGGGGTCATGAACTGCCTTTTTTATTATTTTGTACTGTTCTCTGTGGTCTACTTATAATGTTATCAAGATTTTACATCAAAAAACACCATAATTTAGAAGTAATAAGGTATTTTCAGTCCAGTTTTGACCCCCTCATGGGAACGCTCTGTTTGAATAGGCGTGGCGGATTGTCGACTCTGAAGTAAACGCCCACTGCTATGATTGGCTAACAGTTGTGTGTGTTTGACAGCCTACAGCCTTCATAGATGACTGCTGTGATTTAGGTCAAAAACGCATAAATACTCAGTACATATCAAACGATCTGTAATAACAGACAGAGTAATAGTGATCACGTAATAAAAAAAGTTCCTCACACTTGTGTGGTGCGACGTTACTGTCAGATCCAATATAGTCGCACAGAATCGTCTTTTAGTTTCAGTCTTTTTGAATAGCCTGCATCGAATTGTGGTAAAATGAAGTGAACAAAGGACCAAGTTCTTACTGACGTGGTCTGGAACTTAAAAAAAAAATGAAGTTCATCCACTCTTTCCTAATGTTGGGATCAGTAGGAAGGCAATGCAAACCCTGTTGATGGAAGACTGTGTCTTTCCACAACTTGGCACTGCACAGTGTCTTGTTGTCTTCGGAGCATCTTTATCATTTGGTTTACGCGCAGACCTGTGTTTGCCTCTCTCGTTATTTACTTACTATGTGCTCGAATCGGTGGGCGGGGCTAAACAGACGATAAACAGTGCTGTAGAAGCAGGAGTTGATGATCTTCTGCGGAGGCGGGGTTTAGCCACACTATTACATCATAAAGTGGCACATTTCACAACCTGTCGTTTTGGCAGATTAGCTTCAATATAAGCTGATTTTAGACTTATGATTTTAGACTTAAGAAATTATTGTTTAAACTTTGAATGTAAGCATATTGAAACGTCTTACTTTTGACTGCAGACTTCGATATCTTGGCCAATCAGAGCACAGTTTGACATATTGTTGAGATCTCTTCTGAAACTGGGGTCAAATGACATTGGTTTCCATGTGCCACATGACTGATCGCAAACATGGCAGGTTTGAATACTGCCGTGTGTTTGTTTAGTCCAAACCAGTTCGCCCTCACAAATGAGGAAAACTTGAGTATAAAGATGAATGCAAATGTGAAAAAAGTTAATTTTCCATTTGCAAAAAGTCTCCATTTGCTCTCCTTTAGATCTCATTGCTGTCTAGGAGAAACAATTGAGATATTTAAGACACTTCATGTATGACTTTCCATTCTGTTAGTTAGAGAGCAGACCATTAGGAGACAAAAACTGATCTGACTGATCTTTTTCAGGTCACGTCTGTAAATGTCAGGAGCATCAGGGTATTTTAAGGTCATTGCTTAGTTCATATTCTGAGACATTTGCTGCTTTTATGTTGGGTCATCATTTCATAAGAATATCTTGCAGCAATAATGCAGTTTAAATGTCAGAGGACATGCATTTCCTCAACCCCGTCTGGGTGTATGTTAGAAGCTGTGTCTTTTCTGGTTTGCTAAAAGCCCAGAGTCGCTTTCTGTTGCCTGCAGGTACAGAATAAGAATCTGCACTGCCATCAATTGTGAACTGGTTTGCACTAAACACACATGGCAGTGGCATTCATTAGCCACTTTTCCTTAAGTTTGTTTGAGCTTAACTTTTCTAAATGGGAACATTTACTAAACAGTTGACAATTATTTTATTATGATTATTATTTTGCTTCCATCATTTAATACGTTTGCAAGAAAAATTTATTTAAGTAGACTGTTTTTATTTGCATCTTTAATCTGTAGAACTGTCCGAGTTAGAAAACATTTATGGAATCGTCACAGAAGAATATGTGAGCATTGATATTGTTTCTAATGTTTATTATTGCAGTAACACCAACAGCTTACCATTTGCCCTGATAATGGACTTGCTTTTAGTGTAATTGATCTGGACTCATTTTAGATGCTTTCTGTATGCAGTATTTCACCCTGTCTTTCTCTCCTCTCCTCAGGAGTCAGCGCTGGCCCATGTGGAGCTCCCCACCACAGTGGAGACAGTGGAGGCAGCCATCAAAAAGCACAAGGACTTTACCACCACCATGGAGCTCAACCTCCACCGCATTAAAGCTGTCATAGAGGCGGGAGAGAGCCTCATCAGTCAGAACAACATCTATTCAGAGCGCATCAGAGAGAGAGTGGATCTACTCGCTAACAGGTCAAAACCAAAACACTTATAAGAACATTAATGCCACATAGAGCTGGTTGGTATGGAAGCCCGTTTCCGCCACTGAATAGAAAACAAAAAAGGTAACTGTGACTTTTTATCTCAAAATTCAAACTTTTTTCTCACAATTGGGAGTTTACATCTCGCAATTTTTAATTTTTTTTCTCAGAATTGCATGATATAAACTCGTAATTGTGAGAACATTTTCAGAACCGCGAGATATGACCTCACAATTCTGAGAAATAAACTCGCAATTCAAATTTATTTCTTGCAAATCTGACTTCTTTTCTTAGAATTGTGAGATATAAACTTGCAATTGAACTTTATAATTCGCAATTGCGAGTTTATATCACAATTCTGAGAGAAGAAGCAATTGCGAGATATAAATTCGCAATTCTGAGGAAAAAAAGTCACAATTCTAAGAAAAAAATCACAATCATTAGATGTAGACTCACAATTCTGAAAAAAAAAGTCAGAATTGCGAGTTTATATCTTGCAATTCTTTCTTTATTTCTCAGAATTGCGAAATTCTATATTGCAATTCTGACTTTTTTTCTCAGAATTGCAACTTTATTTCTCATAATTGCAAGAAAAAAAAAGTCAGAATTGTGAGATCAAAAGTCGCACTTTTTTCTTTTTTATTCAGTGATGGAAACGGCTTCCATAGGTTGGTTCTCAGGAAACAGCGTAATTTGTGCCTGAAACTTCCAGAATTTTTAGAATTTCATTTTTAAAATGTTAATTGCTTTACATAAGAAATCATATTTTTCATGTCTGATCAGTCCAGGAGCATCTAATATTCAGATTAGTGGTCAACAAATATGTATTTGTAATATTTTTCAAATGCAGATTCTTAAACTATTAATCAGTTCTATTATCTATTATCTATCTTAACTATTATCGGCAATGAATCGCCTGCGATTTTGAACGCGATTTTGTGTAGCTTGTCAGTGAACTACGGCTCTGTGTAGTAAATGCCGCTCCATCTGAACGCACGTGCTGGAGATTTACTTCTAATCACAGGAGCGCCTTTACTGACGAGATGCGCATGAAAATCGCATTCGATTTTTTGCACAGCCCTACCCTGATCCCTAAAGTATGTTTGCAGCCTTGCAAAATAACAATAGTTGTTGATTGGTTAAAAGCGCTACATTATTTCAACCACTTCACAGTAAGTTTGAAATCCTATAAGTTACTTATAATTCTAATAGATGACTGAGGAAATTTAGGTGCCTTTTTTGTGTGCCCTGTTATAAATCACGCGTTTTATTTAAAACAAATATATGTTAATATTTCATGAAATTTCTATTTTAAAAAATGTCAACCCTCTTGCGTTTAAGTGTTTTGGGGTTAAAAAGCCCTAATTGAATTGAAAGTGCACTTGTAGTGTACTTCAAAACTATCAAGTATGATTTTAATAAACTGTACTTGCAGATAATCGTCTCAAGGTTACGTATGTAATCCTAGTTCCCCAAGGGAACGAGACACTGCGTTGAACACTTTGGGAACGCCTTCAGCGTGACTATGCTCTGAATCGTGTGTGTAATCAGACCAATGGATGGGTGCGATTAGGCAAGAGGACAGAGGAACCAGGAGCGGTACGAATGTCGAGGTCGTAGAACCTGACGAAGGTGAGCGGCGTAGACCAGCCCGCAGCATTACATATACTGTATCCTGCATAGCCACACCCGACACGAAGGCCTTAGAGGCCGCCACACTTCGGGTGGAGTGAACCTTGACCCCTAAGGGTGAGGGAAGGCCAGAGGACTCATATGACATAGTAATAGCATCAACAATCCACCTAGTGGCAGGAAGACCCCTCTTGGAAGGACCATAACAAATGAATAATTGGTCAGACTTCCTCCACATGGCAGTTCTGTGGACATATGGACATGTAGACACATGAAATGTAGTTTCTGCTGGTCAGGCTCCCTAAAGGGGGGAGGACAGAAAGCCTGAAGTACGATGGGCCATGGTACTGAGGAGGGCACTTTACGGATGTACACCGGCCTGGGGTACAGAAAAGCTTTGGCCAAGCCGGCCGCAAAGTCTAGGAAGGAGGGGGCCACTGACAAGGCCTGCAAATCTCCGACTCTCTTCAGTGAAGTGATGGCTAACAAAAAGACAGTGTCAGAACTCGATCTGAAACCTCCTCAATAGGTTTGAATGGAGGTTTACAGAGAGCCTCCAGGACCACGGCCAGGTCCCATGGTGGAACACGAGGTCGTACGGGAGGCCTCAGCCTCAGTGCACCGCGGAGGAAACGTGTAACCAGTGGGTGTCTTCCCACAGACTGACCACCGAGAGGGGCGTGGTAAGCAGTTATAGCTGCCACGTACACCTTCAGGGTGGAGTGGGTCAACCCTGTAGAGAATCTAGCCTGCAAGAACTCTAAGGTCGTACGGGATGCCTCAGCCTCAGCGCACCGCGGAGAAAACGTGTAACCAGGGAGTGTCTTCCTACAGACTGACCACCGAGAGGGGCGTGGTAAGCAGTTATAGCCGCCACGTACACCTTCAGGTTGGAGTTGGTCAACCCTGCAGAGAATCTAGCCTGCAAGAATTCTAGCACTGAACCGACCGGGCAGTTAACTGGGTCAAGCTGGCGATCTCTACACCAGGAAGTGAAGAGTTTCCACTTCAGGGCATACAGTTTCCTCGTAGAGGGAGAGACCGGGAGAACAACCTCGGTTGAGAGACCGGAAGCTACGAGTTGTGCCCCCTCAGAGTCCACACCCACAGCTTCTACAGCTCTGGGCGGGGGTGAAAGATCGTACCCCCCCGCCTGTGAGAGGAGATCCCTCCTGACGGGAATCTCCCATGGAGAGCCATCGAGACGGGAA